TCGGCAACAATGCTTTTGATTGCCCCCCCCTCCCCGTCCCCTGTACCCGTTCTTTTTTTTGACACCCGACTTGTCTTGTATTTCGTCGTGTTTGTCTCGTAGCCTTACTGACTTTTTTTTTGCGTACGAGCTAGTGCAGTAATATTTGTATAACCTGGTTCTTGTTGTACAAAGACATTGGAGCGCATCTTGACCTGTCTTGTCCCTGGGTGGTTGTTGTTCGTGCTTGTCCCCGGGTGTCCGTTTTTCTTTTTTTGTCCCTGGGTATTCGTTTTTCGTTCTTTGCCGCATGCGTTACTTTTGTTGGTACGGTCTTCGACAGCAACGCTTTTTCTCCCCCCCCCTGTGCCTGGCGGGCGAAAAGCCGGCGTGCTCCGTCCCGGCTTTGTAGGGATGCGAGGTCTATGGTCTTAACGACTACGGCATGCAATGCATGATACTGAGTACACCCCCCCCATGTGTGGACGTCTTTCTTTGTAGACACACTCCGAAGTACACATCGGGTTCCCTTTGCATGGCCCTGGAGGCATGAGATGTAGGTCGTCGACCAAATGGAAATGAATTTTGTTCTCAAATGGAACCGTCTGCAACCGTCGCGTGAAGAACGATTCATTATCTCTTTCTCGATTCACTCCCAACGAGAAAAGCAGGCTACGTAGTCTACAAGAGATAACACGGGCACACCCAAAGAAATTGTGGCCACAGGGCACAGGGAACGGGGACGGGGGGTGGCAAGGAAAAACATTGCTGCTGCTGCCGTAGCCCGTGCAGAAAAAAAAACAAGCAGGCTACATAGTCTACAGGAGATAACACGGGTACACAAAAAAAAAATGTGGGCACAGGGTACCGGGAACGGGGACAGGGGATGGCAAGGAAAAACATTGCTGCTGCTGCCGTAGCCCGTGCAGAAAAAAAAAACAAGCAGGCTACATAGTCTACAAGAGATAACACGGGCAAACAAAAAGAAATGTGGGCACAGGGTACAAGGAACGGGGACAGGGGATGGCAAGGAAAAACATTGCTGCTGCTGCCGTAGCCCGTGCAGAAAAAAAAACAAGCGGGCTACATGGTCTACAAGAGAGAACACGGCACACAACACAAAACAAACGTGGGTGCCGGGGACTGGTGACCTCTACACGCTACACAGCATTGCGAAAACTGAAAAAACGTACGCATACCAGCTCCCAAAACACAATGCCAAAAAAATATGTCTCCTCTCAGGGGATTGTGTTTCAAACTCTCCTTTCTTCGTGTCCTACATCACCAACACCCCTCTTCCGCGCCCCGGTAAATCCCGGGAGGCCATTAGCCCTTGTCCTGGCCCGTGTTGCGCCCAGAACGATGGGGGCAGCGTCTCGGACACTGGAAGTGGGCGTTGGCGTATCAGGCGATGAAGACACGGACGTAGGGAGGGTCACTAGCCCGGCCGCAGACGCGGGTGTTGAAGCAGCAGGTGATGTCGTAATGGACGCAGGCAGGGCAGTGACCTCAGGAGTAGTGGCAGGCGGTGGCGCTGCAGATGACACTGACGTAGACGCGGACGTACTGGGGACACCTGCAGCGGGTGGCGTCGGGGCCGAGATGGGTTTGGGCATGAAGTCGGCNATCTCGGACACTGGAAGTGGTCGTTGGCGTATCAGGCGATGAAGACACGGACGTAGGGAAGGTCGCTAGCCCGGCCGCAGACGCGGGTGTTGAAGCAGCAGGCGATGTCGTAATGGACGCAGGCAGGGCAGTGACCTCAGGAGTAGTGGCAGGCGGTGGCGCTGCAGATGACACTGACGNACAAGGCCGCTATAGAGGCTCGCAGTGCCATCGCCGTTGGCCCTTCCAGTGTAAACTCCAACTTCCCCCTGAGGTCGTCGATTTTAGCTTTTTTGGCCAAGCGAGCGTAATCCCAGCGAGCCCTGTGGGCGGCTTCTTCATCCAAGGCCTGCCTCGACACAACGGCTGCCGACAAAGCTCCCACAGCCGTCACCAGAAAAACTGTATGGGCCTGCTGGACGCGCCGCGCCTGCTCTTGCGCGTTCGCCGCCGCCACAGCTGCGTGCTCTTTCTTCACCTGCGCACGGCTTTGAACTTCGCCGGCCCCTGCGAACATCCGAATCGCGCTCGACGACAAATCAACGTCGGTGTACGCACCGCTTGTCTCCGACCCGCTTCCGTCGCTGGTGCTGGGCGATCCTTTCTTCGCCTTCTGCTTCCCTCCGCGACCCTTCGGCCCGGACGTTTTCCGCGCGGTCCTCAGGTCAGGGTCCTCGCTGCTGCTTGGCCTTCCGATAAGGCAGTAGGTGAGGAGATACGGGTGCATCCACTTGTCGGGCCTGTCAGGATACCCGCCGTCTCCTTCTACGATATCTTCAGAGGGGGGGCCATCCCCGTCGCCCTGGTTGCCGACCGCTGGCTCCTCCTTGATCCCCCCCACCCCCGGTGCACCACCTTCGCTTTCCTCCGGCTCGCCGCCGTCCTCGAGCTGCCC